AGAGACAGGGGACACAGGGACAGGAAGAATCAGAGACAATGAGACAGACAGAGAGCACAGGGTCCTCAGAGAGAGGCCCTGGGAGGTCTCAGCTCAGAACAAGCTGGGGCCACCCTCACCCTCCTTCCTCTCTCTAGGACAGCTCCCTGTCACACCCTCCCTCTCAGTGAAGCTGTGGCCCACAGTGTCCTCAGGGGAGATTGTCACCCTGCTGTGTCAGTCACAGATCAAGATGGACACTTTCCTCCTGTGCAAGGAGGGGGCAGCTGATCCCCCACTGCGTCTGAGAGCAGAGTACCGAGCCCCACGGTACCAGGCAGAGTTCTCAATGAGAGCTGTGACCCCAGCCCTCGGGGGGACCTACAGGTGCTATGGCTCTCACAGCTCGTCCCCCTACCTGCTGTCACGGCCCAGTGCCCCCCTGGACCTGGTCATCTCATGGGAGTGACCCCTGACCCCATCCTCTGTGAGCTCAAGGATTCCCCCAGGGCCCTGCCCAGGACAGCTCTGGGTGGGATGGGAGGGAGGGGCCTAGGGAGGGTCGGCCAGCGGGACTCACCCCTCAGAGAGGATGACCTCGGGACAGCTCTGGTGGGGGTTTCCCTCTAGTGGACGATGCACAGTCACGTGCTCTTCATGAACCTGTTGGCCACAGAGGTGTCTCCTGAGAAGTCTCTGCTCAGGTCTTTGCCTGTTCTCTAACTGGATTCCTTGGTTTTGTGCTGGGAAACACTGTCATATGCACAGGGACAACTGGTCCCCTCCATTCTGCCGTCCCTCTCTGCCCCCTGAGGACCTCTGCTGAGCAGGAACCTTTCAGTTGGACGCTGTTTTTGCTTGTGTGGCCTCTGCTTTGGGCTCTTATCCAAAAGTCCCTCCCACTGCAACTTCCTGAGCCGTCTCCTCTGTGTTTCTGTCTAGTGCTGCCAGAGTCTGACTTTAGATTTAATAATATTAATATTGATCTTATTTAGATTTTGGGTTGGTTTTGTAGATGGTGAAGACCAGGGTCAGGGTTCCTCCTCCTTCGAGTGGGTGCTCAGTCCTCCACACAGTGGCTAAGGGACTGTCCTCTCCCATGTGCTCAGCTCTGTCCAAACACGTGGGGGTGGGGTGTGCACTTGATCTGCCTCCCTCTGTCTGGATCCCTAGGGCTCTGTCTGGCTGAGCCAGTGCCCTGTGGCTGTGCCTGGGAAGTCTTTGCCCTGTATTTTGGATCAGGTGGCGTAATGGTCTGGCTGGGCACTTCTTGCTCAAGATTGTTAGCTCTTCAGACACATTTTTAGGTCCCCCCAAACCTCTATCATTTTTTTCTGATTCTGAGAAGAAGGTCATTCATATTTTTCTAAGGATTACATGGAATCTGTCCATTGGGACAGCATTATTTCTTGGAAGCCACAGACAGGAGTGACTTGATACCCACTGTGCCTTCTGTTTACAGCTTGCTGGGCACAATGCTGTGGGGTCCGTCTGCCCAGAGCTCCGTTTAAACCCCTGGTTGCTGGCTGGCTTTCTGCCGGGATGATCAGTCCCTGAAGAACAGGGCTGGACACCCTCCTCTTGTCACATCAGGGTCTCCCCGGGCTCTGCTAACGGTGGCTTCACAGCACAGGGTCCTCCGGTGCTGGGTGGGGTGTCCACAGCTCTATCTTCTGGTTGAGGAGCCTCCCTGGTCATCTTAGTGGCCCTTCCATGTCTTCCTGCCCTTCTTACCTGTGGTGAGTTCTCCTAACCCTGAGGTGACAGTCCCTGCTGCCTGGGGCTCCTGTTGGCAGGGGTAGCTCTGCCCTCCCCTGGCTGTCACGCTCTGTGACTTAGGTGAGGGGAGTATCCCCTCTGCAGCATGCAGTTGGGCCTTGCGTCGTCCACCCGGCCCCTCCCTGTTTAAATGGAGGTTCCACCCATTCAACCCCTGGTCCCAGGGATGCGGAGGCCTGACCTTACACCTTGGTCCTGCCTCACGGTTCTGTGGTCCTCCTTGGCTCCCGTCGCCCACCTCCCGTTGGAGGGTTCCTGTCTCACCCTGTTTTCTTCCTTCCCTCTCCTCTGGGCACCAGCTGCAGCTCCTTTATTCACAGACTCAGGGGGTAGACATCGGTACCTGGTTCTTCATATTGTCCCCTATTCAAGACACTTAAAGTTCAGGTTTCTTCACTCAGAGTGTGAAGTTTTCTCCTGCCATTTTCTACATCATGACTACTCTAAAAATTTTTTTCTGCTTTAATAATATATGAGTAGGTTCTTTGGTTCCTTCACATCTTCTAGAATAGTGACAATAGACACAAAAAGCTATTTGGGGTGTTAATATTAGCTTCTATTGAGTCACTATGGATGCGTTCCTGAGAGTTTTCCTTTTTCCTTGTTGTTACGTCTTTGTTGGTATCACACCATGACACAGGACACTGGGTTCATGTTGAGGTCATCCTATGACAGCAGGGAACACACTTGCTCCACTTCAGTCTCTCATACTCCACGTCCCTCCCCTCCCTCCTGCCATCCCTCCTCCTGTCTGGTGCTCAATCTTCTATTCCTTTAGATCTTTGAAATTACTCCTTTGTAGAAACCCATGGAAGTGAAGTCCACCTGTTCCATTCACATGGGGCCATGGCAAAGTGTGGTTTGGGTCATCCCTGCCCTCCCTTTGCTATCCCTCCTCCCTCCACCAATCCCACTCCTCAAATTAACCCATCTCCTTCCTATTTTTATGAAAAGATGAGTATGATTTTTAACCTCCCTCCCACTTCCCCTTACTCTGCCTTCCACATGTGCCAGGACACATCCAGCCCTGACTTTGCGAGTCTGGCCTGGTCCATTTCCCATGACCTTCTCCAATTCCTCCCATTCTCCAGCGAATGACAGGATCCCATTCTTCTCTGTGGCTGAGTGCAACTCCGTGGTATATGGTGCCCCATTTTCTATGTCCCTTCATCTGTGGGTGGGCACCTGGGCTGGGCCATCCCTTGGCTTGGTCCGTGGTGGTTCTCCTCTAGTCTTTGAAGGGTCTCCACATGCTGTCCAGAGCGGTTCCCCTGATATTCAGCCCACCCCAGTGTGGGGGTGCCCCTTCACCCTCCTCCTCACCAGCACTTACTGACACTGAATTCTTCATCCTTGCCCTTCATCGGGGACTGAGATGGAGTCTCAATGTAGCCTTGATCCTGATCTTTCTGGTTTCTAGAGAAGTTGCCTACTTTATTCATAGGTTTTTTCCCATTGGCAGCTCTTCCCCTCATAGTGTCTCTTTGTTACTTTGCCCATCTCTTTGCATTTCTGCTTTAATCTTTTGGTTCCTTGTATCCTCTGGACATCAGGCCCAGTTTGAGGAGGTCAGGTAAGACTTTGTTCCATGCTGCAGGCTCCCTCTTCTCGCTCCTGTTCCCTTTGATATGAACCTCTGTGATTTGAAGCCGTCTCCATTATTGATTTTGGTTTTGTTTCTTGTGCTTATCTTCTTATTTATTAATGGAAGGTTTATTAATGGATTTCTAAGTCACATTGTTCTCATTTCATGTACAAACCTAGGAATCTACTCACACACCAATATTTAAACACCTACACTCTGAGGAGCACATGTCATTTGGGAACATACACATTTAAGCTGCATGTGTGTCTGTCACCCTGGGGTGGACCACCTAGTGGCCATGGGCGGTGGAGGCAGTGAGCAGACCCAGGGGTGCTGGCTCAGCTGAACCCTCCAACCCCCTGCTGTTTTCCTGTTTCTTAGAAGCAGCTGGTGCCACCAGCCCCTCCCACAACCTGTCAGACCCCAGCACTGATGAGTAAGGGGCACTGGGTTATGGGCAGTGCCCAGGGGTCAGTCCCATCCAGACAGGTGGGCGATCTGTGGACCTGAGGGGTCCCTGGGGTGACCTGGGTCTGCACTGACCTCCGTGACCCCTTGGTCCCCATTGCAGCCTCACCCCACAGGGACTACACCTTGGAGAACGTCATCCGCATGGGCCTGGCTGGCCTGGTCCTGCTGGTCCTCGGGATCCTGCTGTTTGGGACTCGGCACAGCCAGAGAGGGACCCAAGACGCAGGCAGGAGGTGAACATGGAGGGAGCAGTGCATCTCCCTGCAAAACGGAGCTGGGGAAACATACCTGATGCTCCCAGGAGATGAGAGGAAGTCGGGTGTGCATCAGGAGGGCTGGCTGGACCCTGGGTGGACATGGCTTCCAAGAGAGACATCTGGACTGAGGCGTGGGGTTCTCCTCCAGGATGTGGGGGTAGAGCCTCCTAGTCCCCCTCCTCCTCTCACCCCAGGACCCTGGGTGCACCCACAGCCCAGGACCCCCACATGTTTTGGGCCCTGGTTCTCTCACAGGTTCCTGTGATACACTAAATATGAATGGCCACATCCTGATATCAACTATTGATTCTCTCTCTCTCTGAACATGGATTTGGATTAACTGAACCAAAGCAAAAGATGCCAGATTCTCAGAGGAGTCCACCCTGACAAGTGGCACTCCCTGTGGGCCCACAGTCCCTGCATCGTCTCCAGGTGCCACTTTTGGTTCCCCAGAGACATGATGGCTGGGCATGTGGCATTGCCACCTGGTGTTGGAGGGACAGCCAGATGGTGTGGGTGGACTCTTCTGTGAAACAACAGTGTCCCACTTTGTGCCTCTCCTCATTCTCATGGGGTGTAGGTCCCCTCAGTCACCTTCACTGTGCCAGTGTGGCCTTCTGGATCACAGGCCAGGATCCAGTGGGGGGGACCACCATGAGGGAGGGGGAGTCCGCTGTGGCCAGCCAGCATGGCCTCGGCAGCTCTGGGCACCTACGCTTCCTTCCCTGAGAGGTCGTGATAACCCATTCCCAATTATTTGATGCATTGCAATAAAACTGTGACGCCAACCTCAGGGGACACCAGGAGCCAAGCAGCAGCCCCGTGGGGGGAGAAAAGAAGTCTGTGCAGTCCAGGCTCCTCAGTATCAAGTGCAGCTGGCCTGGTCACCACGGGAGGTGCTGGTGCTGGCTGGTAAACAGCAGGAGACATGGTCTGGCACTGGGGAATCAGCCTGGGGACAGGGTCACAGGGTGACAGCAGTGGGGATCCTATGGGTAAATGCCATCAGGTAGAAGCCCACCTACAAAGAGACAGGCAGGCAGAGCTGTCACAGGGAACTGTCCTCTGTCCCAGACAACAGCACTACAGGTCTGTCCCCTGGGTGGGGGAGGACAACAGGAAATCCCTCTCCACACCCCAACACAGAGGCAGCCCCAGGCCACCCTGGGGAGGGAGGACAGAGCCCACCCTCCAGGCCCAGGCTGTGACTGAGGCTGAGGCTGGAGGAGGCCTAGAGAGCCCCTTCCCACTCCCCAGGGAGCAAGGGCAGGGCAGGCCAGCAGGTGAGGGGCCAGCTGGACCACGTGACAGGTGCCCTGTGCCACCAGCTGTGTGCAGGGACCCCGTGTACATGTGATGGCACGGGAGCTGTGACCCTGGGCATGCAGGGGCGCTGTGTGTGCAGTGAGCTGTGTGTGGAGTGACCCTGCCTGAGGCTGAGGGGAGCTGGGCTGCAGGAATGCAGGGCATCAGGCCCAGCCCTGGGGACGCCCTCTCCCCAGGACACTTACCACCCTGTGGCTGAGCGTCCCTCTGTGAGCAGCTGG